ACAAGATGATGACCAATATTTACAATGATCTTTCCTATTGCTTGAAGCATTAATTTTACTTCCATGATTTTAAATGTTTGTTTTTAAACTCTCAGCAGTATTATTCAAGTTCTCCTGATAATGTTTAGTAGATGTATAATGAGCCATCATAGGGTCCAACATAACCTATTGCAATCAATATGACATCCACTATAGTCCACACTCCTAGACCTCCAAAGCTGAACAGTTTGCCAATCCCTTCTCTCCAGAGACCTAAATAAAATCTGTCTGCTCCAAAACCACCAACTGTTACACTGAAATTGAAGAGTTGTTAAATAAGTTGCATTCTTAAACAAATTAGAAGATAAATTAAAAATAAAAATGAAAAATCAGTTAAGTACTGTAAATAACTGCTCAACTTTTCCAAACACTAGAGAAAATTTAAGATTAAACTTAAAACACTTAAAAACAAATTATCTTAAGCTAAAAGAAAAAAAGTCACCTTAAAATGAGAGCAGTGGACCATCTGTAACCCTTAGTCCAATTGCATGATCTGTTCTTGTAAAACTTTCTTCGTCCTAAAAAATTTAAGAATGGCACATTTTGACCAGACAGTTTTGGACGTAAGCATCTAGTACTCAGACAGCTAGTGAACCACAGCACGTGAAAGGGCTTCACCATTCAACAAGAATCATCAGTTGTTGTGATGTTACAGATAAAGGTTGTTGTGATGTTACAGATATAGTGGATGAGTGAAGGTTTTGTTAAATGTGGACCTAAAAATGGAAATTGCTCAGCCAAGGATCAGGTGGGCATTCCTTACCTAGACAAAGTATATGGTCTTTGACAGAGCAGTTTGCCCTATAGGTAGGACGCGGTGTGGTCACAGCCTGACAATTGGATTGAGTGGTGCAAGTATGCTGCCACTCTTCTGTTTGGTAGCAATAACGACAATTGAATTCCCTTGTGAAGTTTCTTTCGCCCTGAATTTAAAAGCAGAAAAGAATAAAGACAAACTTATGTTTAATCAAATATATTTTTAATGATTCAGTAATCAAAATGTCAAAAATATCTCTTGAACAGATAAGCTACATTAATCCCAATAAATAAATTAATTAATGTTTATGTTTTTTTAACACATTTTGCTAAGATTAGAAGGCTTTCTTCTGGTAGCAAAGATGATTTTGTTTTCAAACACACTATCTTACATCAACAAGAGATCATTAGTAATTTACACTTACATCACATACAATATCTGCCAGAGCTTTGCAAGTCACTGTCACATCATCCCCATAGGTACATGAAGTATCAAATTCACATTCAATGCAACAGGCTCCTAGCTCACTACATTTTGCCTTGCTTGGACATGACGTTATGTACTGTTTGCTGCATGTGTTATTAAAAAAATTAGGATCCAGGACGGTACTATTGGAACCTGAAGGCCCTTGCCATATCACAGTGCTTTCATCTGATGGAAAAGTATGTGTTCCTCTATCTGGAAAATCTGTTGTTAATTCTGAAATAGAAATTTATCATATTTGTTGATAATAAAATTTTAGGAGTTGGAGTTTTAGCTGAAAGATATAAATAGATAGCACCTATGAATACGATTAAAATAAATTGAACTGTTTTAACAAACAGATTTAAAAAGACTTGCTTCACTTAGAATTACAGTATCAGGAGACCAGGATCAACAGTGGTCCGATTCTTCTGTCTTTAGTACTGCTGGTCACGTTTTCAGATATTTACTGATCGTGCTGGGACCACTGTGCAATAAAAGTAAAAAGGCCGATCATTTGGACTAGGTCACCACAACAATCACTCCTGTCAGTGATCTCAACCAAGGTAAAACGAATCATGTAATACATGCTAACATTGCAGACCCATATTAAGAATAGTTCAATTTGGATATTCTTACTACTGATTCGCTTGCGGGTGTGTATAAATCGGGGGCGCCTCGATAGTCCGAAGGTTCATTGGTCCGAAGGTTCATTGGTCCGAAAAGTGGTAACATTTTCATCGATTTTTTAATCAAGGGTTCATTGGTCCGAAGGTTCTATAGTGAATATTCGGACCAATGAACCTTCGGACTATTGAACCTTCGGACTATTGCTACGGCCCCTATAAATCTGGCAAAAACCTACCTGTTTGGTCAGCTGTTGTTGTCAAAAAGTAAGAAAATACGAAAAGTATCAGCAATTTCGTTTTTTCCTCGTCGAAGGCCACCATGTTGTCATCCCGCAGATAATTGAATAAATGTCAAACACAAATGAAACTTTCTGCTGTGATNGAATCATGTAATACATGCTAACATTGCAGACCCATATTAAGAATAGTTCAATTTGGATATTCTTACTACTGATTCGCTTGCGGGTGTGTATAAATCGGGGGCGCCTCGATAGTCCGAAGGTTCATTGGTCCGAAGGTTCATTGGTCCGAAAAGTGGTAACATTTTCATCGATTTTTTAATCAAGGGTTCATTGGTCCGAAGGTTCTATAGTGAATATTCGGACCAATGAACCTTCGGACTATTGAACCTTCGGACTATTGCTACGGCCCCTATAAATCTGGCAAAAACCTACCTGTTTGGTCAGCTGTTGTTGTCAAAAAGTAAGAAAATACGAAAAGTATCAGCAATTTCGTTTTTTCCTCGTCGAAGGCCACCATGTTGTCATCCCGCAGATAATTGAATAAATGTCAAACACAAATGAAACTTTCTGCTGTGATACTTCCTCCTGATATTTTGTTTCAATTGCCCCATCAAATGCTATATTTCTACCGACTTTGGTTATTGGTTTTGTCAAAAAAAAAAGTGCTTTCGACCTCAGGCTGCTAATTGGCCTCTCTTTGAATGAACCAAGCACTTACCGTACCAAGAAGGTAAACATTGTAAGCTAATGCATGGCTTTATTTATATTTTTTACCCACAGCATTCGGCAAACGTCAAACACAAATTAATGTATAATCCTGCATTTTGATATATTATTTAAAGTAGATTGCTCATGTACTGTCATTGCGATTGAAGTCGAAAATCTTCCTCATTTGTAGATCTAACATTAGTTAGTGCTTAGGAAAATGACAGATCAACAAACTGTAGTTGTGACAGGTAAGTACTTTTACATTATGTGATTTTTTTTATAATAGATAGTCTTTTTTTTTTATTTTTTTATTTAACACATTGTGAAATACATGAGTATATAAAAGTTCTACATAATTTTAAATAAAATTGTATATATATATATATATATATATATATATATATATATATATATATATATATATATAATAGAATTCAGGTAGGCCTATACAACTACAACTACGTACTAGTACATGTACCTGGTCATATAACATTGAACTGGCACTACTGTGTAAGTGGTATTATTTTTAAAGTTTTTTAAATACTCAAAGCAATAAATGGAAAAAGAGAACACACCATATTTCATACAAAATTTTGAAGGATTTGGACCCTTTGGTTCCCACACAATCAATGCCAGCTGGCTTGCTGTCCAGGAGTTGGCAAGGAAAGGTTTGGGACAAGGCATTAATCTTGTGGTGGACCAGCTACCGGTGGCCTACTCTGAAGTGAAAAACATTGTGCCCAAGTTGTGGAATCTTAGACCCAAGGTCAGTGTAGGTAAATTCTAATTTTTTTCTTTTTTGTTTTTTAAATAAATATCCTCCATCATTTCAGGAATAACATGGCTCTTACATTGTACCTTCATAATTCTTACATTAAAGTTAACAGAAACACATTTTTATTGTGGTTCCTTTTTAATAAAAAAATGTGAATGGTATAATATACTATATGTAATATAATGCCCAGCAGGGTTTATTGGACCACAGTCAACTTGCTAGTGTCAGTGTGCCAATGACTTCATTTGCTGCACTGTATAATAACTTTCATCACGATACTCTTCCACTTTTAGTTAGTAGTACATGTAGGAGTGTCCGGGATTGCAGACAGACTGACACTGGAGCAGCTAGCACACAATGACGGCTATGAGAGAGAGGATATATTTAACTGTGTTCCTGACACCAAGTGTTGTGTGGACGGAGCAGACCACTGCCTGGTGTCGGCTATAGATATGACTAAAGTACAGCAGTGTGTTAATAGCTCTGCTTGTGGAGTGGAAGCCATTGTTTCTACTGATCCCGGAAGGTGAGAATCGAAGTTGATGTCAGATGGCATTCTCTGAATACTTATTTAGTCTTAGGGCTCATTCTCAATGAAAAAAATCTTTCTTTCTTTGTAGACGAATCCAATTCCTCTGGGACTCTTGCTGAGTACAACCAGATTAACACACCTTATTTCCAATGCTCTCAATTAGTTACCAGCCTTCTTTTATTCTACGAAGTGACAGGAGGATAAATCTACCTACAATACAATATGATACAATACGATNATCGGCATCGCCATCGGCATCGGCGACGGCGACGACAGAGGCAGGTGATGGCAATATGTACAGACACATCTGTGTCTGTACATAAAAAGCTGATGAGGACAATTTCACTGTTATGTATAGGGCACAGGGATGAGGAATAAGTGTTAAGTCTCATTTTGCTTTATATATATATATATATATATATATATATATATATATATATATATATATATATATATTTTTTTTTTTTTTTTTTTTTTTTGGAGGGGGAGAAATAGGAGTAATCCTGTGGTAGAGATGGGGCACTGTGCTTGCTGTGCCCCCTGGTATTTGTATTGGATGGCCATAGTAATCTACAACAAAATTATACAATCTTCAAATTAAAACAAGAAAACCCTACATGCTTTGAGTATGTGATAATGCAATCAGTGATTAAAAGACTACCCATTGATTCCCAAGCTAAGTTAGGTGACGGGTAAACCATCCAATCAATGCCCTCATAAAACCAAACAAAAGTTGTTTACAAAGTTGCCATGGTTACAAGTGCAAACAGGGATATCTCTGCTAGGGCCATAGTCAAAGTCAATAAGCATGTCAGAACATACAAAAGTCTAAATATGTAGCTATTCTACAAAGACATTTAACAAATATGTTGACAATCACACCAAACATATCAAATAGACATAAGACTATAGCATAGAGGGTAACGCCCATAGTGCATTACTTTTTTATTACTGTTTACAATGCACATGGAGTTACGGCCAAGAATACTGCCTAACAACCAGTCACAACATCTACGCATGCACCTGTACTAGCCATATTAGTGGCACCAGGTGCAAATCATTCAGATATTTTTTTATCAATATTCTTATCATTCTAGCCAAACATTCACCAGACAATTCAATTCTAGGCTGAAAAAAGCAATAAACTATATACACATCACTGTCTCCAAGCAAAGCATGACATCTTTAATTCATGCTCTATATGCATGGACACCTAATAAATCATTATCTTACATGGTTACTACAACTATGCTGAGTGTTTATCAGCAGGAGAGAAGTTAGAAGTTAGTGACATCTGTCAACCAAATAACTTTAAGTGTGTGTCACAGTGCTGTGTCGATTTAAAGGTAGGTTAACAGGTAAATTATATCCATTTTTTTAATGACCTAAACAATCAAGTCTTAAATGTGTTGTGTTAATATGAAATAAATACACACACAGGCTTAACATATTAAGCGCATATAACTGCAGGTATGCTATCTTAACTATGATCCTATCATAAAAGTACATAGTAACGATACATTATCCTTCATAAGATTTAAATATTGCTAGGAAAATTATACTCCTATTATATTATTAATTTGATTGCTCCCCCAAATTTCTTCCAGATATACAATGTTAATAAACATACTGGTATTCATGTTAGTATTTATTTAAAGAGAAAATAGGGATAATTTGTTTCTTAATAAAATCATTATCAAACAGGCTGGTTATAACATTAAAATATATTAAAATATGCCTCATAATCAAAAAGATCCTTCATAAAAATACCATTCACTGTTTTTTTGGATATATGAACAACAATAGCATGCACTAACTGCACTGGTTTAAATACAGGACAACCTTTTCTATGCAGACCCTTTCACTTTTGTGTTCTTCAAACAATACCTAATGCACAAATAACCATAACAGTTCAAAGACTGAAAGCTATAGATACTACAAACTCAATCTGAGGACTCAAAGGTAAAAAACAATGAATATGTATGTCTTAAAAAGCTCCGCCCCCTGACCTAAATGCCAGTGTAAACTACGAGCCACAACTGGGTCAAATTGATTCAGTTTAAGTTCACGCCCTGTAGTAACTGAAAGCTGGCAACAAGCAACACAGCAACTGTGGCACTGAAGAAGCAACGCCAGGTAAGATACTGATGCTGAATCAAAGTTATTAATTTATATCCAAATTGAAATTTAGTGTTATGAGGTGAATAGAACCTGACATATTGTAAGCGGCTTTTTACTATGAGGCATTCAGAAATTAAGGCACTTGTTTCTACATGTATATGAAGATGTGTGGGTGTGTGTGGGATTGTGAATGCAAACAGTTGCATATGCCAGTGAAAATGCATGTGAGTGTGTGTGTGTGTGTAGGAGTGTGAATATGAAGTCCAATGTGGATGCATATGTGTATGCATGTGTGTGTGTGTGTGTGTGTGTGTGTGTGTGTGTGTGTGTGTGAATGTGTGTGAGAGAGAGAGAGAGAGAATTTAACATATCTTTTATAAGAAAGAAAATATATCTATATAGCTCCTCTTAAAATTGCCTGGTCACATCAGTTAGTCCTTTTGCTGTTATAACATTGAAAAAAAAAACCCACTTGTTATTTTGTTATTCTACTTGGTACATAATCAATCACTTCTAAATGCCAAGTTTTAAACAAGTGCACAGTGATAAACAAGAATTGTTAATATTAATTTTCCTTTTCCTGAACTAGTAAGCATGATTTTCAAAACAGTTAGGACAGAGGAAATTACATATAAGGATTAACATTTCCTTAAGTTTTGTGCATTAATTCCTATTCCCCCCACAATTCTTCCTACAATTTAAGATATAGCAAGTATCTATTAGTGCAGTTTTGGGAGTTCTTGGATCAAACTTTATATGATAAGGACCAACACTGAATCGAGTGTATAAATAAAATTCCCTTTGGCTTCAGTTAGAAGTTCAAAATTACCTTCACATTTAAATTATGGTGGAAAACCTATATGGTGTTACAAACCACATGCAGAATTATTTAAAAGAGAGAGAGAGAGAGAGAGAGTAACCATGCTCTCTTATCTAAAAAACACAATTTTCAGAAAAAAATAGTCAGATATATGTTAGTTCAAACTGGTATTATCATTCAGTGTATCTTTGCACTTGCCACACACCCAGGCTATAGTCATAAAAGTCATATCCTCAAGTCATTTAACAGTGACAGAGTTCATACAATTTATTCTGCTTATCATCTGTAGGCGTTTAATACCAAACATTCCAACCATGTGCATGTGGCATTAAAGTTAATTAATGGATATAAAACCCAGGGTCAAGGCCAAGGTCGAGGTCAGATCTCTGATGAAACTATAACTATCAAATATAAATAAAATCAGTTCAGGAACCTGGATAAATGTATAAAACAAATAATTCACTAAATATGATTATAATTTGTAAAGTCTGAAATTATGAAAGACAGACAAAGTATAAACAGGTATGTCATCATTTTTTCCCAATTAATCCACTAAAAATGAAACCTCTGCAAAAATTATTAAAATTTTGTTTTTAATTTATGTAGTAAGCTACTTTTAAATAAATATAATGGCTGAAATTGTATTTCAACATTTCAAATATTTTTCTGCACATACTTTTTAAAAATTCAAAATACACATCCATAAAAATACATTCAGGCATGCTATGTGAGCATTTGTGGCTGTAAAATTTTACCAGCATAAGTGCTGAGATCTAAATCCTCCAGTTTATCAGTTCTTCATTATGTCTATCTTTAGAAATGTTCATACCAATAATGCAAATGCCAGCTCAAATGTGGAATATTTTTTACGGCTGAAATTAAAAATATTTTGAATTTGTAACAGATTCTGTTATCATTTGACTACATTCTTTAAGTAACATGTATTTATAATTAACTAGTACTAGTAAATGCATTCCACAGAGCCTTATCATGAGCCTACACACTATGTTTTTAAAGCTGCCTTTGCTTCCATATTTTCAGTTTGGTCTATGTGAATATGGCGATCAGTTCGTTGTTTTTGATATTCACCATGATTCCAAACCACTACATCATGTTGTGTGCTACAGTATACTTTTATCATCGATCAGTTATAGAGTGCCAGTAAAATGAGAAAAAAAATATCCACATAATCTGCAGGTTCAGTATCTTAGCTTTCAACAGTACCAGTATATTATGGAGTAGTCCATTTGAGAAGCAACAAGGAGAGAATAGATAATATGCTGTTGACAGTTATAGAGTCACTAGATGGCTGACTAGAGTAATGGGGGATAAGAAATAAATGGTCATAATCTGTATGGTCTGATAGCTCACAACAGTACGTATATTAGGAAGTAGGCCCATCATGCAGAGACTGCAGGAGAGAAGAGATAGAATAGTGTAAGGGCGTATTCCCAGAGCTTTTAGATCGATCTATCCCCGCGGGGAGTCTCACTAGATTACTGTCAGATAATCCGGCTTGAATGTCCGTCCCGCCTACAACAAGCTGTAAGGGGGTAATTAACTATCATGCCTGGTCGGCTGACAGTTATTCAGCGTGAACCCCCAGGGAGTTAGGTTGATCTAATGTAGATCGATCTAATCTCTGGGAATGGGGTCTAAGGCACATCAGTTCTGTTTATATCTGTGCAAGGTCTCGAGGGACTGCAGAACAAGTTACTTAACACAGCAAGTTCAAGGCATACAAAAATTTCAAAAGAAATCAGCTGCGGTGTGTTTGCTGAATCAATAACCTTTTCATTGTATCTAAGTTCATTTCAGGGCATAGACACGCAGATTTCAAAGGCCTTTATTTACAAGTAACAAAACGCAGTGCACTGTTGTTACAAGTTCCCATTCATATTTATAAAGTAACATTCAATATCTGATTGCATGGTCAAACCTTATCTACTAAAGAATTTCAACCAAATAAAAAACCAAAGGTTAACTGTACTAATGAAATTATTTAGCAGACATGATCCTAGGTTTTACAAAAAACCTCTGAACATTTATCATGGGAC